TGCAATACACTTTTACTTCGTTCAATAGAGCAAAGCGTATATGGAATGGTTTAGCTGTAATTTAATTAACTGTCAAATTTCGATTTATACCTGTTTAATTAAAATTTTAAATTATTTTGAAATCTACATGAATGATTTTTATTATAAAACTTTATGTAACTGACAAAAGCCTAAGCTTAAATTTGATATGAGTTGCATATTGAGTCTCATATGAAATTAGGCAGAGAAAAAAATGTTGATCGATTTTAAGATTTAAAAGATACATTTACTCTTGATCCAACATATTTGAAGGCAATTATTTTCTATGAAATATTTCAATGTTGATAGGTCTATATTAGTAATAACTAAAAGTAATTTTTCTCTAGATCCTTCGATAAAAATCTTCTATTTGCTATTCATTTATGATTCATCGTTTAATTAATGAAGTCAGACATTTTGTTGTTTTTTTTTGTCTTTCTTTTTTCGTATGATCAATGAATACAGACAAATTAAAATCTAATAAAACTCGATTAAAGTCTAACGATTCTATAGAACATCTTCGTCAAAAGTCTGTTGAATATTTATTTCAACCAATTGTACAAACAAATGATATAAATAATCAACGTAAACCACCATCACCATTTCAAACTGGACTTAAATATTTAAAATTATTAGGCCAAATAAAACGACAAAATGAAGATATTTCAATCGATACACATCAAATAAAATCAACAATTATTGATCGACTTGAACGTACATCAGCATTTTCAACAAATTATTATGCACCATTGCCACCTCTTTCAACTAATTTAACAAATAAATCTATTCAAGTTGATAATTTTGATGAATTATCATATAAAACTGCATTAAATAATAATTATTCATATTTATCTTTCTATGAATTTTTATTAAGTTTTATTTTACTTTTATTATTTATTTCAATCATTTTATTTATTCAATTAAATTCATATCCTATACATTGTTTAATACATAAAAAATTTTGGTATTCAAATGATTTATCAAATGGTTTTCTATGTGAAAATACAAATATTGAAATTCATTATGTTGAAATCTATTCAATAGTTTATCAAATTGAAATTAAAAAAAATCTTAAATCAATAAATTGTTTAGGTTTTGATATACTTTCTTGTTTACCAATTGATTATATCTTAGTACCTAAAGGATATATTATTCATCGTAATGATCAATTAAATAAATATTGTAATCATACACAAAAAATTCATTGTAAAAATCATTCATTAAGTATTTTACCATATGAATATAAATGGAATTTTAAAAATAATCAATTCAATGAATTAATTCATTGTTCATGTTTAACATATTCATATAATACAAAATGTTTTCATTTTAAAATTACTAATCAATGTGATTTACACATACCATGGTTTGATTATTGTCTTAAACATTCAACCACAAGTTCAATATGTCAAGCATATATTAAGAAATTATAAATTAACACGATACAAATTAGAATATTGACACATATATTTGTCGAGATAAAAAAAAAAGAATTGATCGTGGGAATCAACACTTATGTGATAATTCAAAGAGAAGAAAATTAGCGGAGAGATAATAGACAATGCTAAGCATATTCTATCTCTCATGACAAAGTGAAGATCAATATTAGAGTGCTTTTGTTATGTTGAAATGAATTAAATAAACAAATATCCGGAATGGGCCATAAATAGCATTATGATAAGAAAGATCGAAATATTTCTGTTCCGATTCGTTCAATTAGACTGATGTTTTGGTTAGTGATAGAAGTTGGTTTGGTTCCGTTTTTTCGAACAATTAAGACTAATTAAATCATTTTCCTGGCTCATCAGCATGTTTTATTCAACAGTATTTCATGGAAAAAAAAACAAACACAACTTTGTATTAGAAGTTATTCATAAAAGACTTCCAGGCAAAAATCGTATTGTTTGACTTCTTCTCTGTCCAATATCTCATCGACTCTCTTTCCCATTCCTGAAAGTTCAGTAGGGTCCAAAATTCAACTCGATAGACTCTGACGTTCACTATAAAAATAAACTTTCAAAAAATGTCTGCTTGTTCAAATGTATTTCTTCTTTTTTATTAAAATAAGTCAAAAATAGAAATGAATAAATATAGATTTTATAAACAGCAAACAAAAATGTTTTTGCTTTTAAACACATTCTATTTTATTGAACTGAAAATAGTCAAAACAAAAAGATGAAGTTCAATATCAATGGCACTTGAAAATCTCATATAACTGCTCCACAAAATAACAATCTGCTCGTATAGCATAATCTTGAATTATTTCACCACCGTATTCATAGTCAGCTGATTCATCCAGCACATTGAATATTTAAAAATGCTCCTTAAAATACCTTAATCTTGAAAATTTCGCTGAAAGTTGTGTAAAAACAAGGAAAATATTTACATTAAGTGTCTGACTGTCCAAAGATATTTGACTCCCACTCCTTTACTGTACTTTCTTTATGGGTGAACTCTTTAGAGAAGATGCTTGCAATAAAAGAAATGGCAACACAATTCAATAGTTCATAAAATAGTGGCGACAAAACCTTAATGTAATTTTTTACTACTAATATTAAAATATTCATCTAATGACAAATAATCTTTCTTCTTTTCGTTTTATTAAATCAAGAATACGATAATTCTAAAAAATAAATCTTTTCATTGCATGGAGGTTTGTTCAAAGTGTTGTCGAATTGCTTCATCGTAGTCGTGTTGAACACACCATCTTTTTTTAATTCATCAATCACCACATATAAGTTTGGATTAGAGACAGCAATATTTGCATTAAGTCGATTGTGCCAGTCCTACAATTCATATGTATATGGGAGTAGAGAAGCTGAATATCCATGTCCATAGCCGGACCCGATTCGAAACAAATTCTGGTATCAACCACTTTTCTCTTTCGCCAGAAAAAATCAATTTCTTAATCTTTTTTTCTTTCTTTAATATCCTAGTTGGAAACAAAGGATGTGTTTTGATTTCTTTTCGCCCTTATTACTTCCCACATGGGAAAACACGATTATATGATGGAATTCTTTCTTGTTTGTCGGTCTAGAGCGAAGCACCATAAAATTTGACAGTTTTTCCTACGATAATTTGCTTTTCTTTCTAAAGAACACAGACAAATCTATAAAAATGAGTAATTATCAATTTGATTTTTTTAATTATATTTTCAAATAGTCTTTACAAGTTTTATTAACTCGATTTGGATAGTGATTGTGACACATGTTCAAAACGAAGAATACCAAGTCTGAATACACTCATAGAAAATAGTGTCCCATTGTCTACGATATACGATTGTTATGCTAGTTCATGTAAAACTTCGTTTTGTTTAGAGTATTATTGTTTACAACTGTATTTGTTTAACTTGAGTGTGAGAAAAATTTACACAAATTCCACTTCATAAAGTACTTCCTTTTTGATGAGACGATGGCAAGAGATGATGTTTTCGCTATCCTACCAATCTTTGATCAAGTTATTATTACAAGGTATTGCAGCGAACTCCGACAAGAACAAAAAGTTTTTATTTTTATTTTTATTTTACAATAGCAATCGTTTTTATTTTTTCAAAGTTCCATTTCGCAAGAATAAATTTGATAAATACTAAAAGTCTGTTGGATTTGCTGACTATGGAAGTCTTCCAACAGATAAATCGCCTTTAGGTCAAGACTATGTGCTTTATGTAGATCCGAATAAACCATGAATACTCTGAAAATAATTCATATCTTAAGCTTATTGCTATGAAGATACTGCACTGTTATAGTACTTTTTTAAATAAGCGCTGTAGTCCTTCTCATAAACATTGAAAAAAAATTACTTNTTCATCTACGCCCAAACTCATTCAATGCTTTCTGTTGATTGATGAATATTTTAGTGCATAGATTTTTGATGAGGAAGAATCACAATGGCGGTCGAACTTTAAGCTACATGGAATTCTAATTTTTCTAATGAAATAGAACATACTGTTGAAGATATAAATAAAAGGAGAAACTGTGATTAGATGGCTTCATTTTGCGCATCAAAGTTTTCAAAGCTTTCATTACTATCATATTCAAATTTGGATACTTTTTCTTCAATTTCCAGAAATTTAATAATAATTTTCGAAGAAGAAAATTCAAATTTCAACTTTGAGATATCTATTCGTTAGAGAGAACATCAAAAACTATTCTTGACAGGAATTATAACAATACAAATAGCTATTGATAATCAAATGAGAGATGACGAAAGCATACTCATACTATCAAATGTCCAATGAAAGAGTGGGCTGAGTTTCTCTCACTATCAACGTAAAAGTAAGAGAAAGAATAATGTCGTATGTTGAATTGTCTACCAATGAAATATCATTGACGATGTAATATCGAAAGGATCCGACCATTGTCGGCACGATTCCATTCGATACATGACATCGACATATGCATCAGGCAGCACTTTCGATGAATATGATTCGTCAAAAGTGAAACAAATCATGTCATCATCAATAAAAATATCCATCCACTGTAATATTATTCCTTCTACTTCATTCATGCCCACACTATTTATATGAATTAATCGTTGATCTACTGAAAAAAGACTTCGCTCTTGAAACTTTATGTAAAGACACAAATCTTTACGTCAATTATTTAGTATTGCTATCAAATACTTATTTGAAAAATATTGAAAACTTTTTTCGAAGATGTTTTGAATATCATGTGTACATCTTTGAAGCAATGATATGTAATCGTCGTAAGAGTTGTGATTAATCTTATGAGATTTATTAGGGAAGATAATGCACAAATCATTTCTTTCTAATCTATCTAAAAATATACTTGCTTTTATTCTCAATAGATTATTGGTGAATGAATGATGCATTATAAATGACTTGATTTTTCTTTAAATAATTGATACATGAAATAGTTCTACATATCCTTATTGACATATTTTTATCAACACTTTACTCTGATAATAATGATATTTAACCGAAAAGCAAGTACATTTGAAAAATCAATATGATTAATCGAGTTCTATTCCGAAAGTCGTTCAATATTCGATTTCGTCTTCCATAGTTTACCATGCCAAGGAGAAAGACATTTCCTGTAGATAGCTAATGCTTGTTGATAATAATCAAGTGCCAACGTAGGTTTATGAAGCTTTTCGTAAATCTCACCTATGTTTGATAAACTATCACCAATATCTTCATGATCTGGTGGTAGAACTTTGAGACGCATTAAGAAACAATTCTGTTCATATAAAAGACAGAGTTCATACTGGCTCCTCGTTCTGTGTATCTGTGACAACCACGGTAGTACGTTTGTAAAGGAAACATCCGTTGGAAATGAACTAGCTTCTACAATCAATAACCATCTTTCCAAATATGCAATAGCGAGATCGAACTGGAAATTTCGATCGAAGTTTGCAGCGATCCAGGATAGGCAATCAGCAATTTCAATATGATCATTGGGATAATATTCTTCGAATATGATTAATGCTTGTTGATAATAGTCGAGAGATTCATCATATTTTCTTTGCTGAAGCAGAATATAACCGATGCTCTTAAGACTGCCAGCAATTTCGAATCGATCACTAGGCGAGTTACTTTTGAGAATTTCCAATGCTTGTTGTTGAAAGTCGAGAGCTTCATTATATTTCGTTTGTCTTTTGAAAACTTCAGCTATGTTGTTCAGACAAGTAGCGGTATCCGGATGATTGGATACATATTTCTTGTAAAATGTCACTGCTTGGTAATAAAAATCGAGCGCCTCGTCATATTTTTCTTGACTACAAAATATATTACCGATACAATTCAGACAACTAGCAATACTTCCATGATTGGATGGACAACATTGTTGATAAATTGCCATTGCTCGTTGGCAGAAATCGAGTGCTTCATCATATTTTTCTTGCATATTTAAGAGTATGCCAATATTTCTCAGATTCTCAGCAATATTAACATGACCAGATGGATAACATTTTTCAAGAATTGTTAGAGCTCGCTCATAACAATCGAGTGCTAGATTGTATTGGATTTGATCAATTCGAATGTCGCCGATTCGTTTGAGACTGTCCGCAATTTTCTCATGACAAGAGGAATAATTTTCTTCTCGAATTGTTAATGCTCTTTGTTGAAACTTGATAGCTTCTTCATATTTTCCTTGTGTGCTCAGGACATCAGCAATATTGATAAGACCATTAGCAATATCAGCAGGATTAGATGGAAAGCATTTTTCGTAGATTTTTAACGCTTGTTGATGAAACTCGAGAGCTTCATCATATTTTGTTTGTTTACTCAGAATGATAGCGATGTTGCCCAAACTATAAGCAATTTTCACATGATCAGAAGGATAATGTTCTTCTCGTATCATCAACGCTCGTTGTTGGAACTCGATAGCTTCATTATACTTTTCCTGATCTCTTAGAACATTGGCGATATTTATCAGACTATCAACAATGCCAACATGATTAGCTGCATCAAAGTTCTCTCGAAGTATCAGTGCTCGTTGATGGAAGTCAATAGCTTTATCATATTTTCTTTGCCAATAAAGGCCATTACCAATGTTATTAAGAACGGTAGCGATACCAGCATCATCAAATGAATGGAATTTTTCTCGAATAGTTAATGATCGTTGATAAAAGTCAACGGCTTCATTATATTTCTCTTGGCTATATAGGACAACACCAATAAAATTCAAGTTTTTCGCGATGTCGACATGTGCTAATTCATAATGTTTTTCTTGAATAGCTAAGGCTTTTCGATAAACCTCAATAGCTTCATCGTACTTCTTTTGTTCATATAGAATGTTACCAATAAAGCTGAGAGTATAAGAAGTTTCAATGTGACTATTAGGATAGACATTCTCTTGTATTGAAAGTGCCCTTTGATAATAATCAATTGCTGCATCATACTTTCTTTCATCATGCAGAACATGACCGAGACGATTAATGGTACCAGCTATGATGATATTGTCAGATGAGTAATATTTCTGTTGAATTTCTAATGCTTTTTGATGATATTCAATCGCTTCATCGAATTTTTGTTGTTTACGAAATGTTGTGCCAATATTAGTGAGAGTTATTGCCATGTTCACATGACCATTTGGATAATACTTCTTTTGCATGTCAAGCGCACGTTGATAAAATTTCATTGTTTCATCGTATTTTTCTTGGCCAATAAGAGCATTACCGATGTCNCCAGACCCACCCCAACCAACACCCCACCAACATTCAAATCATTATTCCATTTTATTAATCGATCGTCCATTAGATTAGCACGTTTTAATGATATTCAAACGTTATTAAAACATCCACAGTTAAAATTAATTCAACCTGGTGATACACGATGGTTATCATATTCTCGTTCTATTAATGCTGTTATTCGTTGTTGTGAATCATTAATGATAACACTGGAACATATAGTTAATGAAAGATGTGAAGAAAGTCCATCTGCATTGGATCTACTTTCAATTTTACAAGATCAATCAACAACATTTATATTGCATAGTTTAGAACCAATTCTTGAAGCACTTTCAATATTATTGAAGTCCATCTAAACAAAAAATGGCGATTTTAATCAACTTCAACAATCAATCCTCGAAACATTGTTACGATTAGAAGAATTGAAAGACATTAATTTTACTGAATATAAACAAATATTTGAGATTGTTGATAACATAAAGATATTATCATCAACTAACCTTAATCGTGATCGTATAATACGTGCAACAACAAGAACAAATGAAATTAGTTTAGAACAAATATTCAATGATAAAATAGTCAAATTTATTGATAAAATTATATCAAATATGCAAGCTCGATTTGAATCAAATGCATTAACATTCCTCAACTGTTTTCGTATATTTGATGTATCTGAAGTAACTAATGAATAAGAATATGGTATACAAGAGATTAATATTATCAGATAGCAGTATCCTAATGATTTTAATGATGACTTACTAGCCGAATGGAAAGTATTTCGCAAATATTTATTTGTATCAAAACAACAGCAAAAATCTACAATTTTAACACAACGACAGCAATGTATTAATTTAGTTAAAAATAGAATGACAAGAGATATATATCCACAATTATCATTAGCTGCTAAAGTATTTTTATGTGCACCAATTAGTACAGTAACAATAGAACGTGATTTTAGTACAATGAATAGAAAATTAACTGATCTATGAAATCGTTTAACAACAGAACATTTAGAACAATTAATGGGCATATCAATAGAAGGACCATCTGATTTAGATGATGATTTAAAAGATTTAATTATTAATTGTTGGAAAATTAATAAATCACGAAAAATTTCGGTTTAATTTGTATTTATGGTTTTTTTCCTCACCTTCTTTAATTGTTTTTTCACACTGTATTGATAACAGAATAATTGTAATGGTGTTGTGAAAAATAAATAAATAAGAGTTTACGTGTGCCTTTGCTATACAACGAAAGGTTTTTAGTCGGTAGCCCCTCCAAAAATTTTAACCGCCCACCCGAAAAATGAAACCTAGATAAAACACTGCATCTCACGTTTATTAAAACTGTTATTCTATATGTATATTTGTATATGATATTTCTTCTTTGACGAAGTTATTACTGGCATATACATAGTTGTAAGTATTCTATTTTAGATGTTATTTTTTTATAAATGACTTGACATTATGTCGTTTGATAATTTCGAAATCTATTATAGAGTTGTGTCTGTGGCTGATATCTATGTGATTTGTCATTATGAAATTAGTTTCCGTGACAAAAAAAAGTCTTGTTTTAATTCGAATTTTAATCTTGTTCGTAATTACCTATATAAGTCTCAGTACAAACAAATATCATCTTTATATCTCGTTCTAGTGCGAGCTAGAGTAATTTTAGTATATTTATAGTATTCATTCTTTTTGTCTATCACATTTTCAATGGCAATCAGACAACTCAACTGAAAAAGTTTATTCTCTTTTCTTTATTTAACATAAGATAATGAGCTCTGGTAACTCCCTTAACTCTTTATAATTTCTTCTTTCGCTTTTGTTGATACATACATGAACTAAAATTTCTTGAGAAAAACCGAATTTTGATAAAGATGCATAGTTTACTGCTGATGTAAACATCGATGAATCTTGTCGACTTTAGGGTATGCAACACTTGAGCAACTTTCAGTTATCAGTAAAAGTGTTCGGTTTCGGGGTCAGCTCTTGATTCCACTTTTTTTAGAACTGCTGGATTCTAATGTTGTGTATGATAATGTTAATCATTAACTGTAATGTGACGGATTAACTGTGTATGTCTATCGATATTTCTTTTGCATGTTATCACTATAATAAATTATTGTCTAAATTTGTTAAGCGGCATAAAATAAAATGAAAATGATAATGCACTTATATGAGAATCTACTCGACCTTTTTCCAGTAATGCCCTTTCAACTACTGAGGTTTTTTTTCTAAACATTTCTCACTATTCCTATTTAGATCTTCTCAGACTATCATTTCAGACTTACGACCAGAGACTGGACAAGTGCAAGTACAAGTGCAGTAAGTATAATTACGAATACTTGTTACTTAACAATTGTACTTCGGACTTCTACTTAAGTAATCGTAATAGGTACATTGGCACTTAAGTAAAGATACTAAATGTCAGTCTCATGAAGAACTATTCTGGTGGCTGTATAGCAAGTGCATTGACTACCAATCTAAAATAGCATATAGAGAAATAGGTTAAAATCAGATGAAAGCTGGATTATAATGGTCTTTCATAATCTGATTGTTATAAATTTTAACCTATTTTAATCAATTATGAAAATAAAATCAATACAAACTCATGACTAGAAATCGACATTTGTCGATTATAGCTTTAAAACCTAATAAAATATATTAAGAAGATTTAAATAACATAAAATCTTTCCTTAAAGCTGAAAAATATGATAATAATTGCGCTATAGTTGTGCGTTGATCGATTTTTAATTTGTTTTTTAATCTTGCTTTTTACAAGAGAACTATTAAGATTTACGATAAATTTCATTTTTGTACTTTCCATGGATGTATAATAAAATGCGGGTTTTATCCATGTACAGAACACCCAGTCAAAACCGCTATTCTTAAGTTCTTCTCAATCTAAAACCATGCGTTCGTTGTCACACATTTACACAAGCGAAGAATCTCTGAGACATCATATAAAGCCACAGAATCTAAAAAAAAGATTTTTTTAAGCCTGAGAGGATGTGGATATATATTATGCATCCGTGCAACCACCCTTTTTAAATTCCAGTTTCGATCAAAAATTTTTATTGCTCTGGGCCCTGACTACAGTCTCATTTACAGTATGCTTAAAATTTCGTATAGCTTCTGATCCAAGTTTTTCAAAAATAAGGAATTTCTTGCAAGATTATGTGTGATTTCTCAGATTTATGCTCGTAGTATCAAATAGAAAAAAAATTGTTTTTCGCAGCATAATGCAGTAAAACAAAAGCATTTTAAATTTTATACTTGCAATAGGAAGGGTGTGAGTTGTGAGTATGAGTGCCGCTTTGTCTTTCTTTAATTGTTATTCACACCCATACCCACTCGTTCACATTCACTTCCACACCCATACTTTCATAAACGATCATCACTGGAAGAAGGAGACAACCAGTCAGCAACGGGACATAAGTCCATTTGTACTAAATACCGGTACTTGAGGAAATTTACTCAAAGTATTCGTACTTAAGTATACTTTGAAAGTACAAGTAAATTTATTTGTACTATAAAAATGTATTTTGTACTTGCAACTATCAATTAAAGAAGTACAAAAGTACTAAGTATTGTACTAAGTCTCCAGTCTCTGCTTACGGTCTCAATTCAAATCGTGCAAACGTTGTTTTAGAGACACGAAATGAAAAAAAAAAGATCTTTCTCAAGTTGGTAACTGGCGTGTTTCGTCCAACACAGGAACATTGAAAATTGGATTTACATAGATTAAAATAGTTAGATTGACAGTGACTATCGAATGGCAAAAGTTTTAACTAAAATGAATGGAGGATGTCTTAAGTATTTAATTTCCAAAATGTTAGCAAAACTTTACATTGTTGACTATAAAGGTGGTCGCTCAAATTTGGCATCCATTCTTGCTTGCTTGGTTTTGGTTTCAAAGTGCGAAAAATGCAAGTCTCTATCTCATTCGTATGAAACACAATTCGCAAGACTATGACACTTCTTTTATTTTGAAACAAAGAACAATTACAATAAATATTTTTCTTTCACAATCAATGACCTACAATATCCATAAAAGTTTACATAATGACTTCTAGTAACATTTACGCATGACTTGTGGCTATTTTATTTGTTTTATTATTTGTTTGATAAGCAACAGGAGCCACACGTGGATTTTCTCTATGAATCCATTTCCAATAGAGTTCAGGCATGCCAATCAGACAAGCAAATGGATGTAAAGCGCCAATGAGATAGAATAGATAGAAAAAGTATAATTGTTGGATAGCCAAACTAAGATTTGTCGGTCCATTAATTGCTTGATAACATTGAACAAATCCAAATGGGAGATAACCACATGAATAGAGAATAGATACAGGAAGAAATTGTAAGATCATCTTGCGATGTTGTCGCCATTCCATCGTACGTCGCATCCGATGATGTTTTTGCCAAACAACACGACCCCATAGTCCTACATTCAGAATAACAATGAGAATAGATGGAACGACAGTGTGAGCAAATTGATCGAAGACACCCAATGCTGGAGTGTCATAGACAAAGCATAAACCAGCACAGACAACTTGCGTGTAGTCGAAATGGTTTTCACAGATATGGATAAAAGCGACGTATACATAAAACAAAATGCAATATCCGAAAATAACAGCAAGAGGAGCATAATGCACGAAGAAACGCTTCCGTTCTGTACTGAGCATTTTTTGTTGGTGAAAAATAAGAATATGTCGTTCAATTGATTGCCAAAGCATCAATATAGAAACGAGTGCATAGAGAAGCAAATCAATGAAATTCCAGATACGGCAATGAGCATCGGTACTGGGACTGACAACACCAGTGCGTAAGAAGTCGAGAATCATGGAGAGATCAACAATGACAGTAATGAGACCGACAAAAAGCAAAACCAGTGGAGAATGATTGTGAAGTGCTCGTAGCATAGCTCGATGAGATACGATATGGTAGATTAAACCGAGGTAACAAGCAATCGACGGAATTTGCAGGGATAGTAGAACACCAAACTTAATATGACGACTCTCGACTGTCTCCATTGAGCGAAAGGAATCTTATGTTTCTAGAACAGAATAACTTTTTAATTAAAATAATGGGATATAAAGGCTGTCCCGGAAGTTTTGAAACGATTTTATAATTCACCGTTCTCGCATTCTACAAAAGCAAATTCGTTGAAACTTTGACAGATTGTTGTACATATATAGTACTACATAAGTACAAAGTTTGAGGTCTATCGGCTATGCTGTGGATGAGAAAGTGTAACAACACTGACATGTACTATTTTAAAAATTTTTCTGGTCATCTTCGAGGTATGCAACATTTTTTTATTTCGTATATATCTTGGCTTAGATAAATGATAAAATCTTGATTTTTTCTTTAAAAGATGCGCCGTGAAAAGCTCTACAAAAACTGCAATAACAAATTCCTATTGACTTGTATTAATGGTTTCTGCCATACTCAAAATGCAAAACCTACATGTTAGTACTACTTCTCACCATATTGCGCGTAATAAAAAAAGGTTTGAAAGACTTTTTTGCTTTCCAATAGGAATTTGTTTATGCAGCTTCTGTAGAGCTTTCGACGGTGCATCTTTTGAAAAAAAATTCAAGATTTTATCATTTTCTCAAGCTGAGATACATACAAAAAAAAAGATCTTCCAAACATTTTTTAATACGCACAATATGGTGAGAAGTAGTACTATCATGTAGGTTTTTCATTTCGTGTATGGCAGCAACCTTTAACACAAGTCAATAGGGATTTATTATTACAATTTTTGTAGAGCTTTTCACGGCGCATCTTTAAAAAAAAAGTTCAAAATTTTATCATCTACCTAAGCCGAAATATAGATATTTTGGCAGACCCGGAATACAAGATTTAAAAAATAGTACGTCATAGTGTTGTTACAGGTTCTCCTCTATTGTATAACCTATAGACCTCAAACTTTGTAGTCATGTGGCACTACATATGTGCAATAATATGCCAAAGTTTCAAAGAGTTTGCGCTTGTTGAATGCGAGAACGATGAATTTTAAAATCGTTTCAGAACTTCCGGAACACACTTTATGCATCAACTACTGTGCCATGCTAGTGACAGGATTTCATACGGAAATCGATGTGTGAATGAATACTCTTGTCGACACTAACATCCGCACCAAGACTCAAAGATATTGGTAGAAAGATTTCTAATAAGGTTAAAAGTTTGAATCTGCAGTGAAAGCAACCTGCTGTATAAAGTAGAGTCAATTTCACGCGAGTCGAAGATATGGTGATAGATCGTGGTTCACTGAAAACTTAGTGACCAATGAGATGGTCCACAGCAAAAACTCTTCAGTTTGTATAGTTTGATGCTGAAGTTGACTATGATTAATGTTTTTGTTATTTACAGCATATGCTCTTGTCTTGATAAGAAGGTTGAATTAATATTTGACATGAATAAATTCTCTACTTTGGTATTATTTACAAATAGTAATTATTGAATTAACAAAAAACTAGTGATGTTTCATATCTCGTTGAGATAATTCTTTAGACAATAAATTCAGGACAAATGACTCACTGTATAACTAAATTTGTTTTCTTTTCTTTCTATTGATAGTGATATGGAAAAGAATTAAACGCCAATATAGCTGTCACTTTTATCGTCTTGCTTTTTCTGCATCACTATCAAAGGAATCAGTAAGAAAGAGAAAAATAAGAAAGCATATTTACTTGTATGTTGAATTATTTGTCTTAAATTTATTGCTTGAAGAAGTATCTCATCGAGATACAAAAATTGGAGGATTTTTTTTGTTAATTAAATAATTATTAATTGTAAATAAAATAAAACAGAGCTAGCATATATTATGACTATCATGAAATAATAACTTTTTTAATTTAAAAAGTTATTGTCAAACAGAAATCTACTGTTTAATGGACTTAGGTTTGCCTTAATGATTTATAATTTCTGTAATTAGAATGTGTCATAAGAAACTCTGAGATTATTATTAACATGAACTTCTAGCTGACATCAACATGAAAATTGTCATAGCAAAAAAAATGAAACCCGTATAAAATTGCATCCTACGTTTATTAAAACTTTTATTGTATCAATATATGTGCATAAAACATTTCTATTTTGACAAAGTTATCATCTGTATGTATATAGCAGTAAAGATACTATTTTGAATGTTTTTTTAATCCCTCATTCTCAAAAGAGATACAATCTTTGTATAGAGAAGGTTCATAAAATCGGCGAACAGAGATGTACGAGAAAATTTTCTGGTGTTATACTTACTTTTAATGAACACTTATTTATTTGCTAATTGCTGATTTCTCTAAGCCAGTCGCTATTTCATTTCATGCACTATATAAATATCTCTAACACTTTCTAATGAATACTTCAAGCTATTTAATACATAATCTGTCATTCATTTATTGCCAATCTCTCTAAGTCGATTGCTATTTAATACCAAGGCCTAGTTAAAGATTACCATCATCATCAAATGAATATCTCTGCTTAAATAATAGGCATTCTGGTTATTTAATTATGTTCAATCTCTCGAAGTGGATGTCTATTTAACCCGATGCACTATTTAAAGATTATCAGCATCATTAAATTAATATCTCTAGCTATGTCATAGAAATTCAACAATTTATTTATTGTCAATCTCACTAAGTCGATTGCTATTTAACTTGATGCACTATTTAAAATGACAGATTACACTAAAAATCACGCTACTTTTTAATTTTGAAAAAATAAAGTATAAGGTTACTGTAAAAATCATGTTGTTTCTATAATTTCAACTTTACAGATAACAAAAAAAAGGAAATTGGAAGCTTTCGAACCTATACGAAGGCCACTGTCAAGCAAATGGTTTGTCATGTGCTGTGTATTTCTACAATTTTGTTTCTCATATTGTGCTTTTTTTGTCTAATTTGATATAAGTATAAAGTGAAAAGCTCGCAATTTTCTTATTTTTATTACTTATAAAGTTTCAATTAAAGAGTAAAATGATTTTTACAGAAGTTCTATACTTCATCTTTTCTAGCTTAAATATTACTGCTCCAAAAAAAAACGCTCTTTATCAATTGTGAACACGCATCGAGTAGTTTCTACTAGCTTCATTGATTCTTCTGGCTTACTTTATGAGTTTGATTGTTTAGTATAGACGACCATAAGGACGTTATGTTTGGAGATAAAAACAATGTTTCCACGATCAACGAAATCAAATTAAGAAGAAAAAATAATCAAAAATTACTATAAAAAGAGTAAACCATCTTAACCGATAGTTTTTTTTAGTAATCTCGATTAGCAGTCAGTTTCTTCGAAAAAAGATGATATTGGAATAATCAGTTATTAAAAAATCATCAACAATATGGTACAATCAAAAAATGAGACATAAGAAAAGACTTGTTAGTGCGCTCCTTGTGAAGGATCAAAGTGTGCAACTTACAAACTATGACTGCTTTAAATTTATTGTGTATTGTCAGAGAACTTGATATAATTTATTTTAAAAGATACCAAATAAATGAAGGAATCAAAATTATAAACATTTTTACAGTTGATACACACTCTCTCACCTTTAACATTTTCAAAAATGTTTGCATTTAATTTTATTAGCCTGCTATAGGCATTGCTCTACTCATTCTGTGAGCTTCCGAACACATCATCCTTGCTCCCGACGAACTTTGCCATAATTATAATATTGAGTTTTCCTAAATTTAGAATTCAATTAGTTCATAATTTTCTATGTTCATTCTATTCTGACTCTATTCGATTAATAAAATCATCGCCCTATTGATTGACACCTACAATAAGATCCTTTCGATGCATTCAATACCAAAACCCACAATATTTAGATTAGTTAAAATCTGCAATAGAAATTTTAGATTCATAGAATGTCTCGAAAGATTCTAGAAAATTTCAGAATGATCTAAGTACTATTATTACTTACATGTCTTTTTCCGTTGCTGGGGAAACGTATGCAATGATCTTTGCCTTTTCTTCTCCGATCTCTGGTTGCAAGAACTTGAGTAAAACAGGAAGCCACAAGAACTTTGATTTAAACTTACACTTACTATTTTCTTCGAACATATATTATATAAATTCCACAAAAAATATCAGTAAACAGAAGCCATCACAAAGCGAATCCGCTATTGAAAATAATTCATTTGCAGTCTATCTTTTCTTTTTTGAATAGCTGGAAAACTTATAAATAGCAATGAAAATGTTTTAATATCGGCTATGTTTAAATAGCTCGTAGTATGAAAGAGATCAATAAACAAAATGTAATTAGAAATGGCGTAGCTATATAGATCATTGCATAGCTGTTTACCTTTTATTGATTAGCTACCAAATCCATTCAATTAGCTATGAAAATATGGCTTCTTCTCAAAAGAGAGAAAGCTTTTGAATAGAAAACGTTGATAAAGATAGC